TGCTTGCCTCACTCTGTGTCGCCCATCGTGTCTCGGCCAACATTCTATCTATTACTCCGCCAGCATCAATCCTAAACGAAAGAAAGTTGCCAATCGCAAAGCGGAAAACACCTTGACTGAACATAATCAAAGATTATATTAAGGACATAGATCAAAATGATGCAAGTAAAGGTTAAAGAACAATAATTAAAGTAGATCTTGGAGTTTTTTCGAGATGTATCAGAATAGCCAATCAAATGCCGTTCTTGAAGGCGTTTCTAGCATCAGTGTAGACATCTACGCAAGTGACTGACCTTGTACTCTGGATACGGGGAGCACTTGATCGATCCTGACTGAGCCTTCGCAACGCTGAAGACGGAGGATTTCGCCTATTTTCTGATGACAAGGAGGCACATTCGTCAGCTACAGAAGCGGAACCGGCAACAGAGCTGCACTCTGAAAGAAGAAGGATTCCAAAGGGACCCCATCAAAATCTAGGAAGGGGTAACGAGAGAGCTAAAAGGAACTTGAAAGTGGACACAATGAAGCATTTGTTAGTCACTAGGACTTAGAGATCAGTTTCGTTGGATAAAAATATGCATGTGATCGCGCATATCAAGGCGTAAAACCTAAGATGGAATATTTAGAAAAATACTTAAACAAACTCAAATCGGTCACCTTCTGACCAACTATATAATTTTGCTAAGACTTGATGAGGAGCATAGATTACGGAGCCAAATTCAGAAGAAAGAATAAATTGTGCTCTGATTCTATCATTCAAACATATAACATAAGCTGATGGCCCCAAAAAGAACTTTTCCAGAAAAAAAAACTCCGCATTCGTACTCACCATGATGGGTTTTGAACGAAACAATACATCTTAAACCATCCGCAAGCCTAGTGGAGATTATAGTTTTTACCCTATAGTGAAGGAATTTTTGAAATATTCTCTTGGATTTTGAAACGACTCTCCAATGCGCACTATGTCACTGCATTTGCAAAGAGAAAGACCAAACCTTAGTTGACTGCTTAAGCAAAGGAAAAACACTAATGCCAATAAATGAAAAGCACGCTTAAGCATTCTCTGCGAAATGCAAGCACTCTGCAAACAAAACATAGTGCAGGGAGCAACTTCTAAAAGACTAACCAGGAACATCAGCTGTTGAATTTGGCCGCATTTTGACAAACGAGCCCGTTGCCTCCTCATCCTCATCTTCCTCCACGTCTGAAGCTTTCAGGTATGGATTCAAAGAGTTGTCTTCAATGGTGTCTCCGCCGCCAACAAAAGGCCTGCAAACAGCAATAGGTGAATTAGAAAACAACTTACGACAACATCAAGTGAAAGGAATAAAGTTCTAA